ATTATAATAGTTTTTTTTTATTTGACTGAAACTTGAAATCTTATTATTTATTTTTTTAATTTTGAATTGCAAAATGAATTTAAAACTTTTTATCATTTATTTATTTGATTATATTATGTTGTTTAAATCATTGGTTTTTTAGTCTCATTTAGATTAGTTTTATTAGTTTTATTTTTATTTTTTTAGTTCTTTTTTTTTTTTACTTATAAACATATTATATATATATTATCTAAGTTTTTTCATGTGTTTCTATATTATTGACGATAAATGTTGCAATAAATCAATAAATATCATTTGTATCATGTTGCCTTTCATCTTCAATAACAAATCATAATATAATAATTATGATTAAGATTATATTTTTTACTAAATCATGATATAATAATTATAATTATAATTTTGAAATTACGTTTTTTATTAAAGAATTTTTGTTCATACACCTCTTGCCTTTTATACTCACTTATACTCTTATTTTTTAATGAAGTAATAATAGTAATTTTAAATAATAATAATAATAATAATAATAATAATAATTTTTTTTTCATATCACCTCATCATTAATATAAAGATAAACTATGTTTAAATTGTTAATAAATTGTTTTAGTTTCTTTTCTTTATCAATATTTTTGAAATTAATATTGAAATAATATAACAATTATTATTTATATATTACATTATTAACTACGTGCCTGTTGATCTTCCATTATCAATAATGCATTAATATAGAGATCAATCATGTTTAAATTATTGATAAATAATTTCAGTTTATTTTCCTTATCATTATTTTTGAAATTAATATTGAAATAATACAACAATTATTATTTATATATTATATTATTAATTACATTCCTCTTGATCTTCCATTATCAACTATAATATAGTAATTTTCAATGAAGTTGCCTTTTTTCTTACTTAAATGAATTATAATTAAATTTTTGCATATTTACAACCTTTTACTTTATATGCTGTTGTACATCTATTTTCCTTTAATTCATCAACATAAGATTTTTGATATAAAAAAATAGGTGAAAAAAAAAAGTTACATAACTTTGAAATGGTAAAAAGAAATTTGGGTCATTTAAAATATTTAATATTACAAAATTATAATCTTATAATTAGTTTTTATCTTAATAAAAACTAGTTTTTATTCCTCTTCCTTTAATTTAATACATTATATGTAATTAAGAATAATAATGATAAAATAATTAAGAAGAATATAAGAAATTGAAAAAAAATAAAAAAAAATTGAAAGAAATTGAAGAAAATAAAAAAATTGAACTAAATTATTAATTGCATTTATTATGTTTTTATGTAAAAATAATATATATTCTTTTTTCTTTTTTAAAAAATTCATATTTTTTTATAATTAAAATAAAATAACAAAATTAGTGTTTAATTAATGCTTGAAGTAGCATTTGATATTGTATATTGATTGATTGATTAATTAATTAATTGATTGATTTATGGATAGGTAGATAAATATAGATATAGATTTATCCTTTTAATATTTTGAGAAAAATATATTAGCTACCACTATTTTTTATAGAAAATTTAAAAAAAGATCATAAATTAAGAATTTTAATATACATATAATATATATATACACCTAAAAATAAAATATAGATTGTTTTTAAAAATAAAATAAGGTTAAACCCCCTTTTTGGTCCCTCAACTATTGTACGGACCTCCGATTAAGTCCCTCAACTCAAAAAATCCCTAACTTGGTCCCTACTGTTTACTATTTTTACCCTAATTTGGTCCTTCCATTAAAAATCTCTCCACATGTACTGTTAATTCACGGTAAGATGATGACATGTCAAAATTTTAATCCGCGTGGAAGACAACATGGCAAAAGCTAATGACATGGCAATAAAAATTTAAAAAATTATTTCTCCTTCCTCTTCATTTCCTGAACCGTGAGCCTAGGATCGTTGAACCCATTGCCATGGGTTCCTTCAAACCCAACTGGGCGTTCCTCATTCCCTTTCTCCTTCCTTCTCCTTCCTTTTCCTTCCCTTTTTCATCAATCAATTCATCATCATCATCATCATCAAACAACACCCACAAAAAAATAGAAATTATTTATTTATTTTTTTGTTGAAGAACCCAAGTTCGATCGAACTCAGCACCGAGTTTGAAGGAACCCAGATAGGGATGGCAATTCTCCCCGTTCCCCGCGGGGATCCCCGCCACGGGGATGGGGCGGGGAGGAATATTCCTCCCCGCGGGGCGGGGACGGGGATCATTTTCTCCCCGCGAAATTTCGCGGGGAATTTTCCCCGCCCCATGGGGCCCCGTGGGGATCCTCATCCCCGAAAAAAAATTTTTTTTATTTTAAAATTAATTTATTCTTTAAACTCAAACTGAAACCCAAATTCAAATCCAAACCCAAACCCAAATTTAATCCAATTACAATTAAATTTAACCCAATACTATCCAACCCAACCCAACTCCCAACCCAACCCATTCTCCTACATTTAACCCTAACCCTAATTTATTTTAATTCCCATCACTCAATCTCTTTAACTGTAGCTTCACACATCTCTCACTTTCAGTTTCCCTACTGTTGCTGCTGCTGCTGCTGCTGCTGCCGAACCATATGCTGCTGCCACCACCGGACCCATCTGCTGCTACTGCTGCTGTTCAACCAAAGCCATCTGCTCTGCTGCTGCTGCTGCCGACTGCCGGCTGCCACCACTGGACCCAT